GAATTGGTAGGTTGGTACTTATTTATGTTCCATAATTAATGCGATACAACCTGCATGGCCACTGGAAATGTAAAATAGGCTGACATCAGCTATACTGGCGCCGCCGTGTTTAAAATTTACTATAATATTGTTTGTCAAGGGGACCCCCATAACCCTCTCTTAAAAAAAAAATCAAACAATAAGTAAATCAAAGCACTTTTATTATAATGCAATATTTAATCATTTAAAATAAGGAAATACATATTAACATATTAAACATATTATTTTTATACATAGCCATTTTAGKTTCAAATTTGGACTACATTAGATGATTTTAAACAAATAATAACAATTTTAAATATTAATTGTTGTCAATTATTTAAGAATACTTTTTATACTGTAACCAACAAATCTAAAAATCTCTTATTCTATACTGCAGTGTTAAATAGCAGTTGCTATTAATCATTCATATACCTAATCATATTTATTTATCTTTGTAGTTAAAATTCTTTGTACGTAAAAATATGGATCCACAGCCGCATCCTTGCAGACTGCTGTATATCCTCACCTACAGTATCCCCTTCCCCCATCTTAAAAATCGACAATGTCATTTTTCATGTATAAATTAGGGGATTGGCGCCGCTGTAGTGACATCTTGTATTTTAAAGGTCTTCATAACATTTTTGAAGTTACCCAACTATGGTTATAGAATAGGTAAACTATAGTGTCGAAATGCTGCAGAGAGGGCCCGTTGAAGGGCTATGGTATAATAATAAGCATGAGTATTGCATGTGAACTCATTGCCCTCCCAAATCAACAATTCAACATGTTCAGTGGAGCTCATTATCTTCTTGAAGAATAAATAAAAAATAAAATAAATATGCTTAACAAGTCTTTAAAACTGTAAATAATTTGAGAGGGTAGTGCATCATGGTCTAATGCATATATAATCATCATAGTGCTATAACAAATGGACAGTATAATTGGACAATTGTTAGCACTTTAGCAGATTAGCAGAAGTTAGGGTGCATTATTAAAAACCAACGCACGTGTGACGTGTGTATGTGTA